TAGAGTTCGTGTGGGATGGATGAAATTTAGGAAACTGAGTGGGGTATTGTGTGGAAAGTAATGGTCAGTGAAGATAAAAGGGAGTGTATATAAAGCTTGTGTAAGAGCAGCAATAGTATATGGTGGTGAAACTTGAGTGTTGAGAAGAGAGGAGGAAAGTGTACTGCAGAGGGCTGAAAGAGCTATGGTGAGAATGATGTGTAAGGTTAAAGTGAATGATAGGAGGAGTAGTACAGAGTTGATGTCAATGATGGGACTGAATGAGGACATTGTGACATTGATAAGGAGATCGAAATTGCGGTGGTATGGACATTTGTTGAGAAAGGATGAGAGGGTCGGGATTAGGCGAGCGTTGGAGTTCGAGGTTGAAGGAGTGATAGGAAGAGCTCGTCCGCGATTGGGATGGAGAAAGCAGGTGGAGAAGGACAAGGTGAAAGCGGGGTTGCGTGATACTTAGGCGAGTGACAAATGTGAATGGCGTCGAGGGGTATTTCGGTTTCATCATAGGTAGCCAAACGACAACCCCCGATCTCGGAGAAAATGTCGTCTAAACGTGTGTTGTTGTTGTTATATGGTTGTTATCCTTAGTGTTATTATTATTGTTAACAACAATATTATTATTATTACTATTATTATTATTATTATATTATTATACAAAATAAACTTTACAATTTTTTACAACAAACTAAATGTATCAATACCAATATTCAAAAAGGTTTCCACCCGAAGATCGACGGTTTATTGGAGCATCCCCAAATGTTTAACTTGATGAAGGATGCAAAAAAATATCAAAGAACAATAATTGTTGCACTTCTAGACCTCAATAATGCTTTCGGCAAATTTAGTCTCTTTTTAATCAACTCAATTCTTTCATATCATCAAATGCCTCAAATAACCAAATCGTAAATAATGTCAATTTACTCTGACTATTCAACAGTAATATCAGTCAACAATGAACTAACGCCAGCATTGCCCGTCAGAAAAGGGGTTTTTCTAGGTGACCCGTGTTCTCCTTTAATATTCAATTTATGCTTCAAACCCCTGATGAAAGTTCTCAATACAGAGCTGTATGCCAATTGTGGCTATTTCTGGAAACCAAATGCGGGTTTAAAGACTAGATCCTGGCTTTAGTTTGCTGATGATTCAGCTATAATTTATTGCCAAACAATTAAACATGTTGTTTCGAACTGTGATTCTACAATGGCTCTCGCATGGTATACGGACAGACATAACAAACTGCTGCCGTTGATTGTCAACTGGTTAAAGATTTGTGCACTATCAATCAATCAATCAATCAATCAATCAATCAATCAATCAATCAATCAATCAATCAATCAATCAATCAATCAATCAATCAATCAATCAATCAATCAATCAATCAATCAATCAATCAATCAATCAATCAATCAATCAATCAATCAATCAATCAATCAATCAATCAATCAATCAATCAATCAATCAATCAATCAATCAATCAATCAATCAATCAATCAATCAATCAATCAATCAATCAATCAATCAATCAATCAATCAATCAATCAATCAATCAATTAGCTTATAAAGCGCTATTTCCGTGATGTTCAACAGCGCTCCTCAATGAGCCTTATAAACAGATGGGTCTGAACTTCCGTTCTGAGAAGTAGGTAGAGAGTTCCAGAAAAAAGGGCCAGTAAAAGCAAATGCAGATTTAGCAAAAGAGTGTTTAACACGAGTTAAGAAGAAGTGAGAACAAGAAGACGATTAGATAGAGGAAAAGAAGTATAAATATAATAATCATCAGCATATAGCTGACTAGTGAACGAAAAATCAGACTGTTGCATATTTGCCGATCTTAATGCAAAAAATTTACCATATCAAGGAAATACGTCACATCAGACAGTTTTTATCAATCGGTAATTATGTCTCTCCAAAAAACACGGTTTGCTACAACGACGGAACATCCGAGATTTTTATAGTTAGCATTGGAGTTAAGTTTCTTTTAAACGCTTCAATGACTAGTAACGAGACAATTATTGTCAGGTTAAGCCATCGTGTGTGGAACAACCCTAGTTTCACCATATGAGATGTCTGCGTCGCATATTACGGGTCAAGTGACCGGATACAACTTAAAACACCGAAGTGTTGAAGCCGAGTTCTCAACGGACGACGTCTCAAATGGCTCGGTCATGTTGAGAAATAAGGACGTTCTACGGTTAACTAGTTGAGGAACATTCGAGAAACATTTTTAATTACATTTGAAAATATGAATATATTTTTTTATTTTCACAGTTATTTTTTTGCTGTAGGTATTGTACAAACTCTGTAGCTACATCAATGACAAAAATTATATTGAGCAAACTTACATAGCTGTACATTTTTCTATCTTTGAACAAAGAATCAAAATTGAAAACCTGAAAGAAAAAAGTTTTTTGTAAATTTTACTACACAATTTTATCATACAAAAATGCTAATTATCTTAAATGGTAATTTGACGCCATGAAAAAATCGTGAAACGCCTAAATTAAAATTTTTAGATTAAAAATAAAAATCCAGATCTTCAGATTAATCTATTTTATTCAAAATAAAAAATTTTTCAACATGGAAAGTTAACAAACCAACCATAACTATTGTATAAAATATAGACCATATTAAATTTTTGCAAGATTCGCAATCCAAAAACTTTTGGAAAATCATTGGATCTTCATCAGAGAAAAACAAATACCTATTTATATAAATATTATAAAAATTAGCATTGGAGCATTATTTCACAATTTAATACATATTTTATTTTCTATATTTTCACATTTTACATTAGGCATTTACTTTAATTAAATTATATGTTTAAACAATATTTAGGCTCTGAAGATGGCATTACGTCGAAACAGCGCTGTTAGCTTTATTCCAGTTTTAGATAAATATGAACTCAAACAATACCGCCTCGTTGAATGTCTTATAAAGAAGTTAATTAATGCAAAATGGGCAAACAATTTCAATATATATATATATATATATATACGTTGGTAATAGACCATAATTTTTACAATATTCTATAAAAATATAGAACAAAAAATGACAACCTCACTTCCAACCCGGCGCTTAACAAACAACGAAAACAAAGAAGTAATAAAAACTAGCATTGTAAATAGTGACAAAGAAGAATATGATGCTATCGATGAAGAAGTGGAGACCAATAAAGATGACCAGCCAATAAAGAAACCTGACACCTAATTTCCATCTAATTTCACTTTGACAAAGTCAATCTCCATCTAAGTTCATTTTGACAAAGTCAATATTTCCCTATATAAACAGCAGAAAGCACTGATGATGATTCATTCGGAATCGAAATATGGCCTTATTTGCAGCATGAATTCGGAAAATAAGTTTATTTTGAATTTTAATAAACTAAACGTTCACCAAAAAACTTTAGTGAGAAAAATTGAAAAAACGATCTACAAACATATTAACGCAGTTTTAAATCGTTCCTGGCCACGAGTGACCAACACATCGAAGAAAGGTAAACGTTAATCCTTTTCAATTTCAATGGTAAATCTTAGTTTTGATTTGTTTAAGATACCAAGAAGTTGGGTGATTTGTTCAGGATCGTTATAGGAGACAAAGATATCAACAACGTATCTAGCGTAGATATTTGGTTTTAAAATTGCATTGTTTTTAAATATATATATAATTTATATATATAATTTGGTACTATGTTTCGGGATAAATATGTTTTATTAAAAGCAATACTCCATTTTGTTGTTATAACTTTTTTAAATGAAATTTCAAATTGGCGTAGTTTATTTGCTTCAATTTCATTTAAATTCAAATTTTGGCTAACGGCCGTATCGGCTAATGCCATCTCCGGAGCCTACAATTATTTAAATCCAAAGTAATTAATTCCAAAAAACTTAAAAAATATTAAAAATATTAAAATCCATTGAAATGTTACTGATAAGTATTATTCAGAAATAAATCTCTAAAACTTTTTTTAATTATTATTCTTTAAAAATCAGGATCTGACAGACGCAGAAACTGTAACAACATGCAAGGCAGTAGAACAAAATTAAACAAATAAGTGAAAAAATAAATACAAAAAGTGAGGAAAAAAATGATAAAACATGAAAAATAAAATATGTTAGAATAAAATAAATAATAATAATAAGAAAAATAAAAAAAAGTAATTGACAATGGAATATAAAATGAAGTAACGGCAAATTGATAGACTAGATGAGTTAGTGAGGTGATCGATTAATAAAGGCTAGACAATCAATCAATCTTCGTTTTGCGTCAAGAGACCCGGTTTCCCGAGGTAGGACGTTGTTTTCTTTGCCATCAACTTTTTGTGCCAAATTAGACGATCAGTTGTATCCATTTCATTTAAATTTAGAGCTTTCATGTCTTGCTCGATTGTTTGCGACCAGGACTTCTTTGGACGGCCTTTGAGACGTGTGCCAGGTACTTCAACATCTGCAAGAGAAGTTATGGCACTGTTTCCACTTCGTTTGACATGACCAAACCACCGCAGACGGTGTTGCCGGCATTCGTCCTTTATATCATCTAAACCAGCACGACGCAGGATTTCGGTAGATTTGATGTGGTCCTTCAGACTAATTCGTTGCATCGATCGGAGCATTTTCATGTCGGTTCGTTGAAGTTGTTGTTCCAGTTTGTTTGTCATTGGCCTTGTTTCTGCACCATATAACAACACCGGACGTATCACAGATTTATAAAGTCTTGATCGTAGTGGTAGTGGGATGTCACGCCGCATCAATATAGAGGCAAGGAGATGCCATTTATTCCAGGCTGCACGTATGCGTGCTCGAACGGCAGCTTCAGCTGTTCCAGTACAATCCAGTACATCCCCTAGATATTGAAACGATGTGACTTTCTCTACCATAATGGCTTCAAAAACAGAGCTATTTCGAATTTGTTGTTGTGGATTGATGCAAGCAGGACAAACAAAATTGGACACTTTAGATAAAGTACCAATTATTTTTGAACAACGTTTGTCACACCACTGGTTACACTGCTGAAACTTGATTGAATTGTTACCTACACCAGCTTTACAAACTGAACAGGGCCATCGTCCAGTAGCTGTGGATTTGATGGGTTCACCAGTGTTCATTGCTTTTGGTTTTGCTGATGTTGACTTTGAATCCATGATCGGCGAGTCTGGTGTTTCAATCTTCAAACATCTGTGCTGCATTCTGCTCAGACATGGCTGTTAAAACGATATCATCAGCATATACTAGATTCCAAATGTCACCAGTGCGTATCGGTTTTGTGATTTTTTCCATCACAGTTTTAAATAACAGTGGACTGAGAATAGAGCCTTGGTGAACTCCAACGCCGATGTCAAATGCATCTGTGTTTCCAACCGTTGTGCTGACAAGAGTCTTAGTATTCGTATACATTTCCATCACAAGTCGAACAAGATATTCTGGAATGAGTTGTCGACGTAGACTCCACCTGATTGTTTCACGAAGAACTCGATCAAATGCTTTATCAAAGTCTACAAAAATGTGTGATAGTTGTTGATGCTTTGCGAGGTACTTCTCTTGCAGTTGCCGAAGGATGTGAATTGCATCAATTGTTGATTTCCCCGCTAGAAAACCAAATTGATAATTTCCGATTGTGATGCACGACATTAATCTTCTCTCAATGACTTTTTCGACAATTTTCAGGGAGTGTTCTAACAGACGTATACTCCGATATGATGAACAGTTCAATGGATCACCTTTGCCTTTGTATAGCGGGACTGTCATGCTATAGTTCCATTCAGTCGGCATCGAGCAATTTCTTTAGATTTCACGGCAAAGTTGTAGTATCGTTTGGATACCTGCAGTACCAGATGCTTTGATAATGTCATTTGTGAGTCCAGAGGGCCCTGCTGCCTTTCCATCCTTCATAGCTTTCAGAGCTTCTGTAAGCTCCTCTACAGTGATGTCTGGAATCGGAATCGGACCTCACCTCTCACAACTCAGTAATAAAGGCTAGACCTGTGAGTGAAAAAGTTTTAATGAGTATTAATATGTTTGATGACTTATTAATAGACTAGATGATGACTTAGTGAGGTGATCGATAAATAAAAGCTAGATCTGTGGGGTGATCGATGAATAAAAAAGCTAGATCTGTGAGTGATAAAGTTTTAATGGGAATTAATATATTTGATGGTGATTTAGTTGGTGAGCTAGTGAGGTGATCGATAAATTAAAACTAGTTCTGTAATGATAAAGTTTTATTAAGTGCTAATATGTTTGAGGTGCCTTGTGATGAAGGTCTTTTCCTATTATGTAGATTGGGCGACGACTTGATAGTTATGTTTGCGCTGACGAAGGTTTTGTGTTGTAGTTTTGATTGGTGGTAATAGAGGATGGATGACGTGGTTGTTGTTATTTTCTACTTTCTTGAACAGCCTTGAATCGAGTGTGTTGAATATCTGAGTGACGGTAGGATATGATGCAGGTAGGTAGTTGAAGCGAATTAGTTTTTTGAATATTTATAAACGAAAATTTAATTTAGTCAGTGATATAAAAATTGCAATATATATATATATATATATATTATTATCAATTATTATTATCAAAAGATTTATCTAGCGCTAATTAGTTAAAATTCAAAAGCGCCATCAAAATAAAAAATAAAACAAAATTAAACATAAGATTAAACATGTCCTCACTAAAATAAAGTTAAACGTAGAAATAATTGTCTGGCTGCAAAAAACTGTAACAATTCAACACAATTACAAAAAAACACTATAGAACAATTCAAAAATTAAGATATCACTGTAACGAAAACAAAAATGTTTCGAGTTTCTTTCTGAAGCATGTTATGGTCAACCTGAGTGAAGCCGGCAGATCATTTCAGATAGTCGGTCCTGAAACAGCAAAGCTTCGCGTATATATTTTGTATGTATTTTATATTTATTTTTGGTTTATTGATGTCAATTAGGACTGCTTCTGCAATTTTAAGATGCGTGTAGTTGTTGTTCTGGTATATTACTTCGGTGTTGCTGACCAAAGTAATATACCAGAACAGCAACACCAAAGTAATATACCAGAACATCAATAAACTAAAAATAAATATACAACATAAAATGACAACCTCACTTCCAACTCGGCGCTTAACCAACAATGAAAACAAAATAGTAATAAAAACTAGCATTGTAAATAATGACAAAGAAGAATATGATGCTATCGATGAAGAAGAGGAGACCAAAAAAGATGAC